TGTATAGGTTTTTCAGTAGTGGTTGTTGGGTTGTTAGCAATTTGAAGCTGATAACATATAGGGTTTGAACTCCGTTAATGTTTTTGGTTTTGTTTAAACAACCGATTGTCACATCTAACTACTTTTGAGATAGTATCATTTAATGAAATAAGGTTCTCAACAGTAAAAAGTAGGTCTTTTACATCATCTCAGAGGCCATTCCTAAATTGGTCAATCAATGCCACTTCTCTCTAATCTAAGTTACCAGTGATTTGTCAAAATTTAGAAGCATAGGTTAAGGCTGGTCTAGATTCTTGAATAAGTTTTCAAATTTCATTAGTGATAGTTCTAGATTTGTTAGAATCACCAAAAGTGGCTTCGAACTCATTAATTAACTCTGCAAAGCCTTTAAGTAATGGTGATTGTTTTTCTAGCAATGGGTCAAACCAGACCAAAGCTAGACCTGTAAGTAAACTTCCAAGTAGCCTCGCTTGAGCCTAGTCATTAGGATAGTGATTAGGCTATATTTGTATAACCAGACGAACTTGATTTAGAGAATCTCTAAATTTGGCTTGTGTTTTGTCAAATTTATCTAAGAGGCTGATCTTGGGCTTCTTATAGAGATAGTTTTTACCTCTTTGATTACGAAATTAGTTCAGGGTATTTCTGAGTTCAGTATTTTCCTAATAAAGTATTTGGTAGTCCAGTTGGACCTGGTTTAGTACAGCTAGAATAGTATTAAGGTTGAGTTAGTTTTCTATTAGTATTTTTTATTATTATTATTATTATTATTATTATTTTATTTTATTATATATTTTTTTATTAAAGGATAGTAAAAAGAAAATCAGGTTGAGCAAAGTTGACTAACAGATATGTATAATCTGTTCAAACTGTAACGGATGGGCTAGATTTTGAAAACTATTTCTACAACAAATGTGTTAGATTTTGGTATTTATTATGGAAATTAAAAACTGAGAAGCAGATTTATTGCACTAGAGAGGGTAGTTTGCATTGAACAGACTGCTTTGTACAAGAGACTTGTATCGTCTTTATATACTATTGTTAAAACTAATTTTGCTTATCGATTACTAATACTAACTACTAATTACTCTAACTAATGATCTCATAATTTATACATTTGAAATATATATTTAATTATTATGATGATTTTACTATTAACTATCATTATCATTATTACTAATCAATTTATGACTGATAAGGGTGGTGACATATATTATGTAATATTATTTTACTATAGAGGTACCCCCCTCCCCCACATAAGTCAATTCTGATTGGCTAATTTAATAAATTATATAATTATAATATTATTATATATAATAGTTTAAACTTGAATAACTTTTGATCCACTGAACCAATCTGGATGATTTAACTACCAAAATGATTCTCTCAAAGAGAGGATTCGAATAAATCCAAAATCATTCAATTCTGATCACGTGATCCCGAGATCGATAGAGTTTTGTATTATATTTACTATAGTAAATATAATACAAAACTCTATTGATCTCAGAATCATGTGATCATAATTAGATGATTTTGGATTCATTCGAATCTTCTCTTTGAGAGGATCATTTTGGTAGTTAAATAATCCAGATTGGTCCAGTAGATCAAAAGTTATTTAATTTTAAAATTTTATTATATATATAATAATAATTATTATTTTTTTTTGGTTTTAAGATGAGGCCTTGCTCGTATCTTTATTAGTAATTTTGAAATAGTTACAATATAGATTGCTATAATACAGTTACTATGATAACTACTAAATATAAAAATTTATAAAGCTACTACTATTTGTACCAGTACAAATAAAAATAAAAAATTATATGCAAGAATAAAAGCTCAGACAGGAAGAAATTTATCTGTAACCTAAACCTACTAGAGTAGTCAAGGACTCACCTAGATTGTTATAGTTAAGATATGATTTAAAGAGATACTGTACTTAGCCCAAAGATAGGACCAGGTATTAATTTTCTTTCTGGTCTGACCTACCGGTGGGCAGATTCCAGTATGTGAGTATAATTGGTCTAATTTTTTACATAAACAGGAGTATGTATATATTTTGCATATTTGGTTGATATTTTTAGCTTGTTGATTAGAGTTAGAGTCATCAAGTAAACTTGAATTATCAGATTGGTGAGTAGAATTGGGGTTGTTACTATATGGGTAGTTTAAGTGCTTTTGTTTTCTCTAGTTAGCAAAATTTGTGCAATAGGGTTTCCATGCTTGTTCGTATAATTGTTCATTGATTTTGAGTAGTAGGTTAATTATAGTATTGGCTGCTATTTTGTATGGAATATTATAATTTTGAACAGTTTGAATTAATGATCGAGAAATTAAACCTTTGAGAGTTGGTTCTATATGGTAGGAATAGGGCTGAAGAGCTATATTATCAAATACTTCATGTCTATAAATTTTTTGGATTAGATCTTTTGATTCTTTCTTAGTTATATCGAGTTCAATTGAGTAGAAGTAGTTTGAGATTGTAGATAAGAGTATTTGGTGCAATATAGTAGGGTTAATACAAGTACGCCAGTATGATAGAGAGTCAGGTAGGCTACAGTGGAAGCATTTATCACTGTGAAAAATTTTAGAATATATTGTATAGTAAAGTGAATATGTAGGAAGTTTATTAAGTAATGTTTTAATTTTAAAGAACTTAAGTTGATTGAGCTTAAAATTTGTGAGATTATATGAAGGTTTTTGATTATGATTAAAATAAAGCTATGTAGATCTCCAGTCTATTTGCTAATTTAGAGAGGACCATTCATTGTTTCGTTTCTGAGATGACCACAATACTAGGATATGGGCTTTGCAGATTGTTTTTACAAAATATCTAGTAGGAGATTCAACTGGGTATTGTTCTTCTTTCCACTGTAGAAAGTGGAATGGGTTATAAATATTGGTGTAGTTGAGCTCTAGTAATGTTTCAGATATGTGTTGTTTAGCTAGTGAATCAGCTAGATTGTTAAGTGTATTGTCAGAATGGGCCTGGACTTTGTGA